TCACCATCAGTGGCAACCATTCGGACTCTTTTGGGACTCCATTTGCTAAATAGACAGACAAAAAAAACAAAATTTTCCCTATTCTTAATTTCTTGAAATCATTCTTAGTTACTTATGGCATGCTTATTATCAGGAAACTGGTGCAAGTATAGTTACTGGAACTCGTTATGTCAAAGGTGGGGGTGTTACATGGGTGGAATCTTATGCGCAAACTAACAAGTAGAGGAGCCAATGTTCTGTCACAAACACTTCTATGGCCTGGTGTATCAGATTTGACCGGATCGTTTCGGTACATGATTAAATTGATGTATTAAGCTAGATAGTATATCAACTTCACACGATTATAGGACTGACATTGGTGTGCTTCTTTTGTAGGCGCTTTAGATTCTACTAGGTATATCACACTTTCAGATTCTGATATCTGAAAGTGGAATGTTGGTTGTAGATTATAGTGAAGTCATGTTGCCGAGGCCACCAAAGTAGGAGAAAGTCTTGTATCCTTCCTGGCCCTATGCGGCAGCTCTTGCACTTCATAAAAACTCTCCACGAACTGCCGGAAAAAAAGAAAGAAGAAGAAGCCAGTTAACACAGCTACTAGGTCTCTAAGCACGTGCAGTGGCAGTGCTACAATATGCTTTCACCTGATCTAGTCCTTTAATTTCCTGCCATAATAATGCTGATCGCATCACAGGGAGTTAGAGGAGAGATTACAGTGAAAGCTTGATAGACTTGATTGGCAAGATAGGGCTACGAGATGAGTTGATGAAGAGAGTGAGCAGTCGACGCAAGCAATCTTTGCAGTTGGGTTGGTTGAGAAATATGTTTGGCATGACTCTAACTGTGCCTCCTATCTCATTTGACCATGCTTTCTTCGTGTTATGCTTCCGATGTTGTTGTTGACCATTGCCATATGTTGATGGATCCTGTTATTTTTGTGAGGTAGATAATGGGTATTTTAATATTTATATATTCACAAAATCTTGCATGGGGCTTTTTCCATTCTATTAATATCAATTTAAGCCTAGTCTAAAATGGTGTAATTTGAAGATATAAAATATGCAAATGTTTGATGATGTAGAGAAAAACCTCAAAACTCTGTTTCATAGTAAAAGCCGCTTAACTGCGATTTAAAGAAAAAGAAAAACCCTAGTAACCAAATTGCTATTGCCCCTACAATGAATTGGAATGATTCTGATACTTATTACTCATAAGTAAACATGCCATTAAATTCTAAATCATTTTTCGTTATAATTTAATTCCTAAAGATTTTTCACTAACCTTAACAGTTGTCGGGAGAACCATACTAATTTAGTAATGTTTATTTTAATCCTATGTCCTTATTCTTATATACATTTTTATCACTATCATAGTATCATCTAGTATCTACCATTTTAAGTATGAAAGTTCAACATCTATTTTTCTATTATCAAATTTTAGCAAAGTCCAATTTTTAAAACCAAAAATTCTATTTATAAAGCACCCCAAAAATACATATATGTTTTTTTTTAATGGGGCAAAGGCCCAAACAAAAAAGATTAAACTGGGCCAGGCTACCCCCACTTCTAAAACAAAGATGATTTCCTTAAACTACACATTCTGCTGGAAGCTAGCAGAGAGAGGAGCACCGAACTACTAAAACCCCAAAATATTTATGTTCTCTACTGTTTCTTCTTCTTCTTCTTCTTCCTCTTCTCGTTATGCCAAAGCAAGAGAGCTTGTGGGTTTTATGACTGAAGTTCGAACAAGAGGTAAACCACCCTAATTACCACTTTTTTTTGTTTATTTATAATAATTTCCTCTCAATTTTCGAAATTGATGTGAATTGTCAGCGTAACTGGAAATTTGATTCAATTGGGGGCTCTCTATGGTTCTGAGCAAAGGTGACGAGCACAGAAGTAGCGAGAGATCGATGAGGAGTGAGAAAGAGAATGAAAATGGCGAGATACCCGACTTGGAGAAGCAGCAGAGTGATAGCGGAGCTGAGCCCAGCTCACTTTCCAATTCTGCAGTCGGTGATACGGTGCCGCCGCTTCTAAACGTCGTCGTTTTGGATGAGGCGTCTCGCGAGGTTCATGTGCAAACCACCGCCAATTTGTCAAGGGAGGTACCTTCTCCCAAAAAGGGTGACCTGTCGAGAACTTCCAGCTCTCATGAACAATGCAGGTTGAGCATCAAAATCATAAAAAATAACTAGATTTTTTTTTGTTTTCAATTGCAATTTATTTCAATCTGGTTTTGAAATAGAGTTCTTTATTTTGGGTATGTTGTGCTTGTTCCTCAGAGTATGTCAGCAGGAGAAAGATGAAGTTTTGATAGACCTTGGATGTCAATGTCGAGGTGGGCTTGCAAAATCCCACCGATCATGTATAGACACTTGGTTTCGAACCAGAGGATCGAACAAATGCGAGATATGCCAGTAAATTCACTCACTAACTCCATTCATGGTTTGTAAATTAGTTCATTTCTAAAGTCGGACTTTACGAAAGGATATAATCTTTTTATGCAGAGGGGTAGCTGCAAATGTGCCACCTCCACAATCCCAGCCAACTGTATGTACTCTGTACCTTTTGGTGCAAAGGGTAGCCTTTGCCATGTTCATCAACCCATAACTTAATATGTATGTATGTATGCATCGAATTAGCGTAACCCATAA